CAGCTACAACACCTACCAGACCGTCAATTATGGCTGGCGCCAGCCGAATGGCTCCTTTGACGGCCTAATGGGCCGCTTTCAGCGCTACGAACTGGACTTTGGCCAGCTGGCGATCTTCATGCGTTTGGACCGCATTGCTCTCTGCGACTTTGTGGCCGAAACGTATCGTGTGAGAGCCGGCATCATGTTTCGCCAGCCTCCGCTGTCAGCTGTGGCCAACATCTTCTCGATGCCGTTCCAGATAGATGTTTGGATCTCGATAATCGTGCTGGTGGTCATAACTATTGTAGTGATGCTACTGGAAATGCTTTTCTCGCCGCACACGCACAAGATGTCCTACATGGACTCACTCAACTTTGTCTGGGGCGCCATGTGCCAGCAGGGATTCTATGTGGATGTGCGCAATCGTTCGGGTCGAATCATTGTCTTCACTACATTCGTGGCCGCGCTCTTTCTGTTCACTTCCTTCTCGGCGAATATTGTCGCGCTGTTGCAGAGTCCATCAGATGCAATTCAGACACTGGGAGATTTGGGACAATCGCCTCTGGAAATCGGCGTGCAGGACACACAATATAATAAAATCTATTTTACAGAGTCTACCGACCCGGTGACCAAAAGTTTGTATCACAAAAAGATTGCCACGAAGGGAGATAATGCTTACATGCGTCCGGCTCTGGGCATGGAAAAAATGCGCACTGGCCTGTTCGCATATCAGGTGGAGCTGCAGGCGGGCTATCAGGTTGTCAGCGATACGTTTAGTGAGCCCGAGAAATGCGGACTGATGGAGCTGGAACCATTCCAGCTACCTATGATGGCCATACCCACACGCAAGAACTTTCCCTACAAGGAACTATTTCGACGACAGTGAGTACAGAGGAGCCTTTGCTCCATACAAACATTCATAACAATACACCTAACGCAGATTACGCTGGCAACGCGAGGTGAGCCTGGTAAACCGAGAGGAGCGCAAGTGGATACCACAGAAGCCAAAGTGCGAGAGTGGCGTTGGTGGCTTTGTGTCCATTGGGCTCACCGAATGCCGCTACGCGTTTCGCATCTTTGGCTACGGCACCGCGCTCAGCTTTGCTGTGTTCATCTGCGAGCTGATCCGCAGTCACATCAAGGGCATCTACAAGATATTCAAGGGTTCCAGACGTGTACAGTATTAGGACACAGTTTATTGATCATTCGATAGTTCGTAGCTTAGTAAGAAACTTAAACGGGTACGGATAGCTCCCGCACCACAGCACGTAGCACATCCGGCGTCTTAAACTGCCAATTACGGATGCACTTGCTCACGCGACACCACGACTCGCCATGTGTGGGCTCTGCGGCTATGC